GAGGAGGAGGAGGAGGAGGAGGAGGAGGAGGAGGAGTAGGAGGAGGAGAAGAAGGAGGAGGAGAAGGAGAAGGAGAGAAAAGAAGGAGCGAGAGCGAAACAAAAGACGATGGAAAAGTTGAATAAAGCCCTCCTAATTAAAAGGCTATCTTTAATTCTTTAAGAAAGTTCGCTGAGAAGGTAAAGGTCGTTTTATTGAACTTGCAAGCACGAGAACCAAATAAAGTTGCTCATTTTTTAATTTATTCATTTATTTGCCTTTGTTGTTATAAGATTTTTTCTTCCAATTGGGATGGCGATTAGGGTTTCTTTAGAATTACGTAATACGGTTTATAGTGTAAAAAATAAAACGTTAATAGCCGTTTAATGATGTGGCGAAGAATGCAAATTTTCAAAATAAGACAATAAGAAGAAGTTTGGTCTAACGACATCCATACAACGATGAATGAACAGGGAATATAATTTACGCAAATACACACGGGCTCGAGCCTATTGCGAAGAAATTGCGAGTATTCGTTGATTCGATGTTTCAATTACCATAGAGACGGGCCGAGTCATTGGTAGGAAGGAAGGGAGTTGGAAAAGACAGGAAATCCCATCGAATTTCAAGCGCGACGAGACGACATATTCTTTTGCGCTCCGGGCGTTTGGATCGCGAATATAGAGACGGCAGAAGCATATCGGCCACTTCCCCCTCACACTTTCTTTTCTCATATATTCTCTAACCGCCCCACCCCCACCCCACCAACCCACTCCCAACTCCCCTTTCCCCTTTCCCCTTCGCCGCAGCCGTGGCACAACGTCCCACCACCCTCGACTCATCTCGGCCGGAAGTCGAAAATATTGCTGACTTCCCGAAGGCCGCCTGGAAAAGGCTCCGCAGCCGCCGGTGCCGTCATCGCCGAGGGCGCTAAGAGATAAGCAAGTGCTCGAGCATAATAAAGGTGTATCGATTCACGCTTGGCCTTTCATATGCAAACTTTGCGGGTGGCCATCCGTTTGGATTATTTTCCAGATTTCACGCCCGCCCGTTTTTCTCTCTATCCCAGCCTCTTTTTCTGTTGTTTTCTCTCTCTCTCTCTCTCTCTCTCTCTCTC